AAACGCTCATTTAAGTGTACAGAATATGCCTAATTTGTTTTAAATATCATACTTGATCTTTTTTCATTATTTTTATAATTATGTTTCCATGTATATAAATACAAATAGAGACAAAACACGCAAACCCTTGAAACTATTTTATAAAAGATTTGCATAGTAAAAAATAAACATAGTTATTGTTTTTTCTTTATTATAGTCACATTTCATGTTTTAGATATCAATTCTTTGAAAAGTTTATATTTGTTTCTCTCTCCTCTTATCTTTTTATTTGAAGCTATAAAGTAAACCCGTTCAACAAGAAATCCAGACTTAAGCTATGCTAATGACGAATAAGTATAACTGTAGTAACAGAGAGTCTTATCTACATATTTGATCAATCAGCCGTATTAAAGTAAAACATTAGCACGTTTAGGATTAGCCTTCGTTCTAGAACGTTCGTTGAACGATTCTCTCTATAATTGATATAGTTTCTTGAAGATCCAATCGTCCCGTTTGTAAGTAGTGTGCTAGACATCGAAATATCTTTTTATTTGTTTCTTATCCTGGGGATAAAGTAAAAATATATGTTTAATAAGAAATCTGCCCATGAATACGAAACCTGTACGGACGGCTTTCGTTCTAGACAGTTCATTGAACGATTCTCTCTATAAATGATATTGTTTCTTGAAGATCCAATCGCTCTTTTTGTAACTAATGTGTTATCCACGACATCGAAATGTCTATGTTTTTTTCCATTCTCCTGAGGATAAATGAATGGCAGATTTTAAATGAGAAATCTGTCCATAGACACCAAACCTGTACAGACCGTAGTAGTGATTACTGAGGCCACGGAAGCAGATGCTAAGCAGCTATTGTAGGTATTAATATGGTAGATGTTGCATTACGGATGAAGCGGATCCATTATAAGCCATATCAAGAAATCAGGATTCATCATGAATTACTGATTTTTCAATAAAATATTTCTAAACTTATCAAAGTTAATGGTATCTAGACAATTTTCAGATCTTACTGAAAATACATTACTTATTTTTTTATTAATTAAACTCTTTTATCTCATTTAATACTAATTTTTATCATTACTATGAAGTTGTCCCAAAAGTTCGTGTTTTTCTTAAAACGTTGTTTTTTTATTATTACGTTGCAACGTTGCACGTTAGTCACCTTGGACTAGAATTCGGTCAAATATTCCAAAGGTCTAGGGGGGACCGCAGGGAGGAAGAGTATCTCAAAATTATCTAGAAAGGGAGAAACTATCTTTTAGCAATTATATGAAGGAAAATCTCAATGGCATACTAGAAATTGATTTACATCACTTAAAATAAATTTCAATTGAATTATTTCGCTTGCTTTGATTAAAACAGATATAAAAATGTTTAAAATAGACATCGATTTCACTGTTGAACTAACCTTATTTCTATTATGAATAAAAAATATGTATAGTATTGTGAAAAAAATAGTACAAATTTGATATTGTACTGGGATAAGTTGCATAAATTAAGAAAAAGGCATCTCCTTATCGTGCAACTGAAAGTTGTTGATGGCTTGCGCTATCTATCGGAATAAATATCAACTATTCTCGTTGATTATCAATTATTCCAGAATTGGCCAAATAGCCATTCTTGATTAATGTATAGTATTATAACAAGTAATTATTATTTTTTTAACAGAATATCAATTTTTATATTTATATTTTGTTACTCTGCAAACTTCTTATTTTGCATATCTTGTATTTTATACATAATTTGATCTTGCCTTAAATTGCTAAATTTCTGTGTAATTCTGGAGTTTGTCTTTCATTATTTTTCACGTGGCAGTATAATTATTAGAATATTATATATAATCTAAATATAGCGATTAAAAAATGAAAATGTTGTCATTAAAGTGTAAAATATTGTCTTAAGTGTGCAAACCCTATATCTATCTATCTATATACACTGCGTGACATTGAAAATGGAACACCAAGAAATAGTGGCCAGAAAATTATGCAAATTCCAGGGTAGACACGCATAACCGAGTTATGCAAATGATGTAAAATGCGCAGCTCTCGTGCGCACATGGAGTAAGATATAAGGGAAGGGACTTGCAGAAAGGAGAGTATTCGTGTCGTTATTTCTTCAAGGAAAATCATTGTAGATATTTTGTTCTTGTGTCAAAAGACACGTGTAATAACAGAGAATGCCAGGTCATCGTAAACGGAGGCAGTTCAAGCAGACAGACGCTTTTACGAGGGGCATGGTGATCGGACTGAAAAGGGCAGGTTGGTCCATACGTCAAATCGCAGCTGATACACACCTTGGTGCGTCCACGGTGCACCGACTGTGGAGAAGATGGTTGGAACAAGGAAATGTGGCAATTTATAGGAATGCCGGTGCAAACCAGAGTGACGTCAGCATGTGTGGATCGGCGTATCCTTCGACAAGCAGTGGCGGCCCCACAAGCCACTTGTACCGCCATCCTGCAACATGTGCAAGACACCCTAGATCATTCCATCTCGACCAGAACCATTTCCCGTCGATTGGTTGCTAATGGCTTGCACTCATGCCGTCCGCTAAGAAGACTGCCATTGACCCCACCGAATAGGCGCCAACGTTTGGAATGGTGCCGGGCTAGATCGACGTGGATGACGGAATGGCACAGGGTCGTGTTCTCAGATGAGTCGCGTTTCTGCTTGTCCAGTGATAGTCGCCGTGTACGCGTGTGGCGTCGACGTGGAGAAAGGTCCAATCCGGCAGCAATTGTGGAACGCCCCACCGTGCGACAACGTGGAATCATGGTTTGGGGCGCAACGCGTATGATTCCAGGTCACCTTTACTTCGTATTCAGGGCACTATGACGGCCCAACGATACGTTGATGATGTGCTGCGACCGGTGACACTCCCCTACCTTCAGGGGGTACCCAATGCCCTTTATCAGCAGGATAACGCCCGACCGCACACTGCTCGCATTAGCCAACAAGCTCTGCAAGATGTACAGATGCTTCCCTGGCCACCGTACTCTCCTGAACTCTCACCAATCGAGCACGTCTGGGACATCATTGGACGCCGTTTGCATGCCTTGCCACAGCCGCGTTCAGAAGACGAACTGTGGCAAATGGTTGAGAGGGAATGGAGAGTCATCCCTCAGGACGCCATCCGTACTCTGATTGACTCTCTACCTAGACGTGTTGCTGCGTGCATCGCCGTCCGCGGTGGTCCTACTTGCTACTAAGCCGACGCCGTTCTCGCTCTGTATTATGACTATCATTTTGAAATAAAGATCACTTATTGTTCACTATTTGATCACTATTTCTTGGTGTTCCATTTTCAATGTCACGCAGTGTATATACAACTCTGTGGTGTGAAAATATAATTAAATAAAATTAATGCAAAATATATTCTACTATATTAAATCTTCTTTCTTATCTCCACTCAATCATATTAGGGTATCAAGCTTTTAAAGCTTAAGACTTGGCTGGATGAAGTAAAATGCATCTGCCTTTGTCATTAAGACTAGGAGCACTATTCAGTGGCAGGCCGACTTAGCTTCAAAAGAAATGGCCGCCTCTGACATGAGGAACAGATGCCATGTTAAGCCGCTTCTAACATGGAGTACAAACGCTGCTCATCCTGTATCCCTGGATTAGGAGCCCTTACATGGTACTCTCAACCGGTCCAGCTGAACCCAGGTTTTTTAGTGAGCTTGTTACTGCTCCCACTACTCCTTTTTCATCCGGGCTTGGGACCGGCAAAGACGGAGTTACTATATTAAATTATATATATTGTAATATAAGTAGTTTGTAAGTATAGCATACGCTATATCTTAATATAATACGCTATACAAAATTTATATTATATATATATTGAAAATAGAGCAATCCCTAAATAGAACTTTAATTAAAAAGGCTTATATTGGATCAGAATATAATATATTTACCAATATTTCAGTTGGGTGAATGCCAACCTTTTTCAAGGTATTATAACAGGTTGTTGACATTAATATGTTGTAATAACTTGAAAAAGGTTGGCGTTCATCCAACTAAGATATTGGTAAATAAATTATTTTATATACAATATATGTTTTTAAATTAAATATATATATATATATATATATATATATATATATATATATATATATATATATATATATATATATATATTACACAATATTTTACACTTTAATGACAACATTTTCATTTTTAATCGCTATATTTAGATTAAATATGATATTGTAATAATTATATTGCTACGTGAAAAATTAGGAAAGACAAACTCCAGAGCTGAGTTTATGTATACAAAAATGTACTGCCTCGATAAAGGTTGGCGTTCAGCCAGCCGAAATATTGACAAAATAAATATTTTATCAAATCCAATATATGCCTTTTATTATCTAATAAATATATATAAACATAAACAAGTCGTATCTATTTGATTGAAAAATATTTAGAGATAAATTACCGTGTTTATGTTGTTCTAAATAAAATTTTCGATTATATCTATGATAGGCCAGGTTACTGGCTACATTCAACTTGTACCTTTCCTATTTAGATATAAGAGATATCCTGAAGAGAAAGCTTGCCTGGCCTGCATTAATATTTCTGTGAAAAATAAAAACTTCGGCCAGTTAGAGTTTTTTATTTTTTCAACGTTTCAACAAAAATTATTAGTCTTCGTCAGGAGAAATAAATAAAATAAAACATTTGGAAGAGAAATAACAATTTTTAATGCCTTACCAAAAGCTTTATTTTATTAATTTCTCCTGACGAAGACAAAAGATTTTTGTCGAAACGTTGAGAAAATAAAAATTCTAACTGGCCGAAGTGTCTATTTTTCACAGAAATAAAGGATAGTTACATTACTTTGTGTTTTAATATTTAATTAAATTACAACAAGTTTTACCATAATATATAGACAAAACAAACTTATGCAAAATTAGAGAATTAATGAAAGTACAGTATTGCCGACTACCTAACTATGAATAAAAATCAAAGAAAAATAAAATATTTTACATAAATAAATAAATAGGCCAGGGTAGCCTAGTGGACATGGCATCTGCCCGGTAAGCGGAACACTGTGGGTTCGATTCCCATCCCTGGACACTTTTATTTTTCCGTTTATAATTACTCTTCATAATTCACCCTTTCATACCTCATCCAAAAGGTTAGAAATAATCGTTATTTCTCCTTGAAATAAATTTTGATTTTTCGTTGAAAAGAAACACATAAGGGATAGTATTTCAAATGTCGTTTTACAATCTTAAACCGCATTATATTATATTGTATTATAAAATACAAAGTATGTTACACAGCTATATACGTTAAGACATATATGTATGAAGTTTGGATGGAGTCCCACACAATTGAATGAGGCAGATGACCGACCCAATCAAGGAGAAGAGACAAGGCTCCATTACAAGATTAAGTTAGGGAATGGATAGCTTGTGACAACACATATAGAGATTTACTTATGTCAACTTTAATTCTGGTCTATCACCATGTCCATCCTTCACTTACAGCTGAAGAAAGACATACAGTTGTCTCACAACCTTTTTATTAGAAGAAATCAGTTTTTTCGGTCATCAATTCATCAGATAAAACTGACGTATTGACATGGTATAAATTTTATATAGAGTTTCAAATATATATGTTATATAAAAATATTATTTTATTTTAAATTATGATATAATAGATTCAAATACTCTGCTAAATCGACCTCCAGAGGTCACTCTTCCCCTAATAAAAACTCGTTGTTGTTTTATCCCAATGGCCGGCTCAAAACTTTTGAACATTATGTAAATAATCTTTTGTTTTCCTTATTCTACTCGCCTTAAGCCAGATATTACTTTTATCAAATCATGTATTTTTCATATATTCCTTTAACTCAATTAAATTACTGATCAAAACTATTTTTCATTATCATACTTTAAGGATTTCAACCACGACTGCATTTCCATACCATAATCTTTAACATGATCTAAATTCAAGCAGAAAATATCTTTTCTTTCTTTATATCTAACATATATATTTTAATTTTTATTCGAGAATATTTTTGATTAGAGTATAATAAATAACTTGCAGTAAGATTTCATGAACTTTGTGAATAAATAATATACGTCTTTATTGATTAAACTATTAAAAAGGTTTCCAGAGATGAGTTTATTTTTATTTTAAAACCATCTCAAGCTTTCGGGCATCTGTGTCTTTCTACAGGAGAACTTATATAATGAATAAAACGCTGCATTGTAACAAATTTGTGAAAAGAAGAGCAGTTTTTTCAGTTTCTCCGCTTAAAAATAAGCTTGGGTAGGCAAAGATTAATATAAAATGAAAGGATTTGAAAGCACGAATGTTTCTTTTATACACAATACAAACTTCCACTGTCCTTACTGCGATGAAAAAATATATTGGGATGGCTTGGCTCTTCAGTGGTGAACCCTCCCAGCGGTTTCGCCAATTTAATCCACCAGACCGCTTCTCAGAGCTCTAATACTGTAATGGACGATGACAATTATTCCGCCTTCTACATGCTATCAGGTAAGCATTCTAAGGCTCATACTGTAATGGACGATTCTGCTTATATACGCAGCACTGAAGGATGGAATCTCAGAAATGGTTTTCAAGAAAGTAACGGACATAAGCTTATAGGACAGTAAAATTACATTCAAATATTTGCATCGAGCAATGCTCTTCCACAAACTATAAAGACAAGACCAGTTAGGCATAAATTAACACAAAGCAATAACGCGCCATCTATATATATAAATTGAAAGGATTTGAAAGCACGAATGTTTCTTTTATACACAATACAAATTAATATGTTATATACTTTAAAGAAAATAAGTGTATTTGTTGTTAAATAATTAAAATATAATATATTGGCTAATTGAGAGAAATACTTTGTTAACTAGTTTAAAGCGTGAATATAGCGAATATATTTATATAATTCAGAAGGAACCTAAAATTCTGTCTACGTCGACAATGTCGGAGAAACCGCCGCTACAAGACTGAAGGGGAGACACTTACTGAGACAAACAAAAGCTGCGAGACACAAAGCCAGCTGCCAAGATATTATAGATTGTGGCATTTATCATAGAGTTGGGTGTCTCTGTTTAGAAAAGATATCTTTTTCTCTTCAAATGAGTAATTCATTGTTAGAGCTGGTAACTTATGGATTGATCGAATTGAGTAAGGGATCATGGTGACAGCAATCGGACGTATAAGGTTGTCCCTAAAGTTCGTGTTCTTCTTAAAACGTTTTTCCTTTTACTTGGCGAATTATATTATTACGGCGAATACATACTAATACATATTTCTAACGTGCAACAGCAGCTTTACACACCTAAGATAGTGAGCATTGCGACTGCTGTGATAGAGATGTATGGAGACATCTAAGGCCTTTCATTGGACACGACAACAACAACAGAAAATCGACATGGACCCAGAGTAGCAGCTTTACATATCCAAAATAGTGGACATTGCGACTGCTGTGATAGAGATTCATGAGGCATCTGAGGCTCCTCATTGGACACGACAACAACAACAGAAAATCGACATGGAACCAGAGTAGGAGCTTTACATATCCAAGATAGTGAACATTGCGACTGCTGTGATAGAGATACATGGAGACATATAAAGCCCTTCATTGGATACGACAACAACAACAGAAATTCGACATGGACCCAGAGTAGGAGCTTTACATATCCAAGATAGTGGACATTGCAACTGCTGTGATAGGGATGTATGGAGACATCTGAGGCTCCTCATTGGACACGACAATAACAACAGAAAATCGACATGGACCCAGAGTAGGAGCTTTACATATCCAAGATAGTGGACATTGCAACTGCTGTGATAGGGATGTATGGAGACATCTGAGGCTCCTCATTGGACACGACAATAACAACAGAAAACCGACATGGACCCAGAGTAGCAGCTTTACATATCCAAGATAGTGGACATTGCAACTGATGTGATAGAGATGTATGGAGACATCTGAGGTCCTCATTGGACACGACAACAACAACAGAAAATCGACATGAACCCAGAGTAGGAGCTTTACATATCCAAGATAGTGGACATTGCAACTGCTGTGATAGGGATGTATGGAGACATCTGAGGCTCCTCATTGGACACGACAATAACAACAGAAAATCGACATGGACCCAGAGTAGCATCTTTACATTTCCAAGATAGTGGACATTGCAACTGCTGTGATAGAGATGTATGGAGACATCTGAGGCTCTTCATTGGACACGACGACAATAACAACAAATTATACTTCCCAGTTTAAACTTCAGCTGTCTTCATACCTATTGTTTTGAATAGCTTTTTTTTATATTGAATATGAAAAAAGTTTGGTTTATATATTTATTCATCGCATATGTACCGAGCTCTAAAACCTTTTTAATTCGATTTATTTCGGTCCCTTGGCCCTCCAATTATCCAATTTCAACTGTATATATGTTATAATGACAAATATTGAGAGATTTTCTGCTTGAATTTAGATCATGTTGAAGATTATGGTATGGAAATGCAGTCGTGGTTGAAATCTTTGAAGTATGATAATGAAAAATAGTTTTGATCAGTAATTTAATTGAACTAAAGGAATATATAAAAGAACATAATTTGATAAAAGTAATGCCTGGTTTAAGGCGAGTAGAATAAGGAAAACAAAATATTATTTACATAATGTACAAAGATTTGAGCCAGCCATTGGGATAAAACAATATCGAGTTTTTATAGGGGAAGAGTGACCTCTGGCGGTCGATTTAGAAGAGTATTTGAATCTATGAAATTATAATTTTTTGAAATAAAATAATAATTTTATATAACATATATACACAAATATTAATCAACAAAACATTCAGTTAGCAAAAAATATCAACTATAAATATCTCTTACAATACAAACATATCTCCCAAGATAAAATAATACAATGGTTTAGGATTCTTCTCCCCGCAGGCAATGTCTGTCCGTGTGTGGGAGGGTGGAACAAAACAATTAAATTAAATATTGCTCTGATGTCATTTCAATCCACGGAACTTATCAAAGATTCGCAGCCGAAAGAACAACAGAGATAAAAGAATAAATAAATAAAAAACAGATGTCGAACAGAATGACGAGTGAGACAATGGTCACATCTATAAGTTGTCATGGCTGATTTACCACATTTCTCTAACCAACCGACCAGAATGACTTATGTATTTATTGGTAAAACTACCCAAGTCCTATTTGTGTATTTATACACTGGGTTTGTTTCTTCTCTTTTTCAAGATAAAACATTTTTGTTGACATTTTAAATACCATTTTTCACATTTTCATTGTATATTAAAATGTACAATTTTCTTGTACAGTCCTTTAATTTGAAAATCGTTGCCCGAAATTGAAGATGGGCTAAATTTTCTACACTCATTATATGCTTGAAGCGACAAAATATTCTACTTTCCTTTAAGTTAAAAATTGCACGTCAAAATTTGTTAAACGTGTAAACATTTTCATATTCATTGTATATTAAAAGGTTCACTTTTCTTGTACAGTTATTTAATTTGAAAATAGTTGCCCAAAATTATAGATACACTAAATATGTTACATTCATTGTATGCTTAAATCAATTATTATCTTCTACTTTCCTTCAAATTGGAAATTGAACGTCGAAATATTGAAGATTGAATTAATTTAAACAATTACAATATTATACCTCTATAGTTTTAAACCATACCACAGGTGTCTGTAGATTAGTTTCTATTCATTTAATTAGTGTAGTCTCAGATTTCGGGCATCTCTGCTCTTCTAAAGGAAAAAAAATAAACGAATAAAACGCCTTTTGATGGCAAACTATTACAAACACACAAAAGCCTTTATTAGGGACTTACCCCATACAGAAATGACAAACTATTACAATGATATTTCAGAGGATAACATATATACACAACCAACCATATCGAAACTGATATTTCGGAAACTCTTCTCTCTAATTCATCGACCTAACACAATGTTCGAACAATACTTGTATTCGTTCTTATGATTCCAGCATCTTGTAATCACAAAATCATGGCATTAACTGAATTAACAAATTAACACACTATAAGACGCGAGTGTTT